CACCAAAAGGATCCAGACCGTGCCAGGACAAGAAATGCAAAACCTGCCCCCACATCTCCACCACCCCCACTATTACTACACCCCACAACAGAGCCATCAGCATCCCAGGATCTTACAGCTGCACCTCCAGGAACGTAATATATCTCATCTAATGCCCCAAATGCCCTGATGGAAGATATGTAGGAGAGACCAGACAACAACTGCGCACCAGAATGAACGCACACCGGGAATCTATCAAAGACAGAAACACCCAATTACTGGTGGGGGCACATTTCTCACAGGAGGGCCACTCTCTCTCCAATCTCAGTCCTGATCCTCAAGGGAAATTTACACAACACTTCTCAGAGATGAGCCTATGAGCTCCATTTCATCAACCTGCTGGATACGAGAGATCAGGGACTAAACATAGACATTGGATTTTTGATACATTACAATCTGCCTGGCAACCGACTCCCCCGCCCAGCCCAGCCCCTGGCTTCTTTACTTTTCATCCCATCCAGGAAGAGCACACACCGACTGCTGCAGCTTCCTTAGCCTGACGAAGGGTTTTTGAACCCTAAAGCTTGCTTAATAACTATTCTCCAACCATTTAGGTTGGTCTAATAAAAGATATCAAATTCACCCAAGGAACCTTGTCTGCCTAGGTCCTCTGGTAAACTATAGAGCTGCTGCATCCACTGATGATAGGAAACATGGTCTACTTTAGGGAAGTCAAACTCTCCCCTCTGGGCAAGCTGGATGCAGACAGCAGTGAGGGTTAATGTGGCTGCTGCTCTTCCCAGACCACCAACACACCTTTCCAATGGGACTCTGTGCCCCTCATTTTTGGTGGCAGCCCCACCCCAATTTGCTCTACCCCAAAGTTGGCCCCTCCGTGAGCCCTGAAGGCCACACATGGCTTTGCAGGTCAGATCTGGCCCAGAGGCTGTAAGTTGTACATCCCCAGTCTCTCGGGTTCTCACTCGGGGGCAGCCAGCCAGCCTACCCATAGCCAAGCAAGTGGAAATTGGATGCTCCTGGCTGGTGGTGGCTTTAGGCTGTTTCTTTGGAGTTCAACTTGTTGGGACCCCTCTAAACCAGAAGGAAATGTTATCAATAGAAGAGCTGAAGTAGAAACTTATAGAAGTCCCACAGTTTTCTGGGAGTGGAGGTTGGAAAATAAGCAGGTTTTTATACAGCAAGGGGGATAAAAGAGTAAGGGAAAGTAGGGAAGGGGCTGAAGTTTCTTTCTTGAGCAAATTTGGCTTTGTGCCGCCTCAAATTTTGCACTAGAAAATCCAAGTGGGTGAAAGTCCTCTGGGCTGTAATTGTTATTAAAAGGATGTCTGCAATATGTGGGCAATAGCTGAGACAGCAGGGGGGCTGCAGCAGGTCAGGGCAGAGGTGCATTGGCAGAACTCTGTGTGTTGGGGCATGGGGGGAGGAGAGGCCAAAAACAGAATAGCAGAGGTGGTGCTACCAGTTTGAGAGCTGGTACATTGGCAGAGCTCTGTTGAATCCCCAGATCTGAATATTAAGGGTCACTGTGGGCCAGGATGTGAGTACATTTTCCAACATATGTAGGGCACAGATGCCTGGACCATTCGGAGATGCTATAGGGCAGCAGAGAGGGGCACTGGCAGAGTGGTGTGAGAGGCCTTGGCAAGAGATCAATAGATTGGGGACAGCATTGACAACAGCAGTCTGCACAAATGCTGCCTGCCTAGGACCCCAGCCGGCTCCCGACAGTATTGAGAGTGCAGCCCTGTCCTCCTGCTTCCTCACAGGACCTTGGCCCTCTAAAGCCCTGTTGCTGGTTTGCTGCAGGGCTTCTTGGGCTGATGAGGAGGTGGAGTTGGAGAGCAGGCCTGAAATAGGCTGCCCCCTCCACAGCAGTGCCCAGATATGGCACGAAAGGCAGGTGCCACTGTTCACTGCAAGGCTCCTGCATTATTCAAGGAGCCCAGATTTCTGATTTTTGCACCAGTTTGGAGCTGGGGTGTTCAAGTAAGCAAGCAAGGTGGGATGAGGCAGACTGGGGAAGAGATCTATCTGACAGATGATCCTCTGTATTTCTGGATGGGCCCAAGGCC